TTGACCAAGAAAAATATGTTTTGAAAGAAGTTGAAATTATATTTGTATTTGTCAAAATTTGTTGAAAAGTGCGAAATGATTGCCATTTAAAACTGTAAAATACTTTTTAAAAATAAAACTGACTCAAGTACTTTAATTATTTTCTATGGCTATAAATAGTTAAAGGAAATTTCTGAATTTATTATGTATAAGTTTTTAAAGATCTATGGATGATTTGTGATGTAGTTGGTTGAGAATGATTCAAATTGCATAAGTAACAGACAAAAACAAAAAAACATAAACTAGAAAATCTAATTAAAATTATAACAAATGTTTGAATAATTTGTTTAACTAAAGTGAATAATATATGTATTATATATATATATACATATATTTGCCATATATATATATATATGTATATAGGAGCTGAGTATAATATTTAACATAATCAGTTGCGGGCTGGATAGAAATAATTGAAACAGCTCATTAAACATTTAATTATAAAGCTTTTAACCTAATACAAGTTGAAAAATTCAATACTAAATCGAATACAAAATATATAATTTTTTACATTATTTGTTTGGGGAAACTTAAGAATTGCTTTAATTATTCAATTTGCGTTGATCTAAATTCTGATTACAAATTTTTAATAAACATTATTAAATTTTCCCAGTTTTAAATAAGAATAATTTTTTTTATTATTATGTGTTTTTCATCGTTTTTTTCTCTTCCTTTTAAGTTTACAAATGCAAAAAATTTGACGGCTTTGAAAGAATTTGGCTTTTCATACATTATTTAAATGCCATTATTTTTAAGGTTTTTCTTGAAATTATTTTTTACATAAACAATTGTTTGAAATTGCAATATTTTTTGCTTGCCTTTTGCTCTTTACTAAATGTTTGACATTTAAATATTTTATTTTTCTTTTTATATTGTATTTTTTGCATGGTTTTTGTTTTTTGTTTTGCGTACATTTAAATATTATTTTTGTTTATTTTTGTTTGTTTTTATATTCATGTTGTTGCTGCTGCTTTGTAAATAAGTACGCACAATCATTAAATATATGTATATATATTTTTGTCTGTTTTCCATATATATATATATATATTTATATTTCATGCAATTTGCATTTTGAATTATTTATAATAATAATGATTTGCATGCTTATATCAATTAATTCAATCAAAAATATCGTTCATGATTTTTGTTTCGCTTTTCTTGTTCATTTTCTTCTTCATTATGTTGGTACCTCAGAAATTGTTCGTCAATTTGTTGTTGTATTTCGTTTAAATAAAAATAATTAGCATAAAAATTACATTTACATTTAATTTGAGTTCATTTGATTTTTGTTCTTGTTGCAGTTGTTGTTGTTGTTGTTGCTGTTGTTGTGGCTGTGGCTGTGCTAGCTGTTGTTGTTGTTGCTGTTGCTGTTGCTTTTGTCGCTTTCCTTTTGGTTTTTTATGGCGCTCCGACATTAATTTTGGCTGTCAAACTTTGCTATTGCTGGGCGCCCGCCTCGTCGACTCATAGTGGCCGCGCCCCAATGCCGCATAGGCATCAGCATAGGCGTGCTGCTCCGGCTCCTGCTGCTCCTGCTGCTGCTGCTGCAGCTCCTCTAACGTCTGTTGCTGTCGCTGTTGTTGTTGCTCATGCAGCGATGTCGGTCGACTATAGCTTACTAGTAGCGGCGGTGGGGGCGCGACGCCTAAGCCAGATTAAATACATATATAAACACATATATATATATATGTGAGGGAGACAAAGTCAGAGCGAGAGCGAGAGCGAGAGATAGAGACAGATGGAAAGAGAGAAAACATATACATTAAAAGTTGTATTAGTTTCTTGACTTGTAGTTGCTCGTGGCGCCAGTTCAAGTGAAGTTGCCCCACCCCCTCTGGGCAACTGCTTGAATTAGGCCATGTGCAGCTTATCGATTTATATTAAAACACACACACACACATACACGCATATAGTTAAACTTGGTTTTAGTAGTTTTTAGTAGTTTTCTTCCTTTTTTCGGTTTTTATAACTATGCTAATGAAATGCCTTTTGGAAACAACTTGCATAAATTCAAGCACAGTTCAAAGTTTTGATATTGGCAAACAAATAAAAAAATTGTTTTCACATGAAATCAAGTTTTAAAATTTGTGCTTAAATTAAATATTTAAAGTTTGCCAAAAAAATATAATTTGAATAAACTTTTTTTTTGCATTAAAAATAAAAACAAGTAACTTCACTAAAGGACTTTCATTGGTTTCAAATGAAAATATTTGCCTTACTTTTTTATTACAATTATTTTTGCTTTTTTATGTACTTTTATCATTAATGAAATAGAAGCTACACTCATAAAAATAATAGATAAAAAATACCAAAATAGAATTTAAATTTAGTTTCTTTTATATTATTAGTTAGGCATGTACTGATTTTTTATTTTATTT